AAACAATTGCCTTGAAAACTGCAAGGACTCGTCCAAGCAGTCACTGCAGAGTCGGTAACGACTGAGCGCAGATTAAAAAAAAAACTCTATACTGAGCACAGGAGACCCTCCAGAACATTCAGATGGAAGATCCCAGGCCTACCTGCAGATTAATCCTGTAACCTTCTATATGCATAACTTTCTGGCAACAACTAGAACAACCCTAAGTTGCTATTAAGAGCTTTCAAAAGTCACCATACAGAAATACTAACAATATTTACAAGGCATTTTATAACTTTCTAGCATTGATTTACCTGTTGTAGAGAATTCCAAGGGCCTGCCTGGATTATCGTATCAGCATTCAACGGAGGCATCTGGTCGGATAAGTATTTCCGTGGTTTGTTTCTTTCAACCGTTTTCTTCTTCTGGTGTTCCTGATAAACTCTAGACCAGGATTTATATGATTTCATCCAGGCCAATCTTTTAGCTTCAACAGAATCAGATACAAGTGGTTGTTCAAAGAAATTGTCCAAGTGCTCATCTTTGGCCCATTGATTATTAACCTCCTCATGAATTTTTTTTGGCGCAAGCTCTATTTTACTATTTTCTGAGGCATAAGAGCTAGCTATTTTTCCAGTGTCCCCAGAATCTAACTGAACATGAATGTAATGTATGATACTTTCCTGATTAACTGTTATATTAGTTTCAACACTAAGAGCATTTGTGTTGCTATTTTTCTGAAATTCTGCAGTTTCTAAACCTTTTTTTACATTATTCTCCAATGATTCTTCATTATTTATTTCATTATGATGTTCTTCCTTTCCTGATTTTAACTCTTCATCTTTACTTCTTCCAATATCATAGCATAATTCGTCATTCATCAATTCATGTGTTTCATGTTCATTTTGTTCCTTGTACTTTTTGTCTGGTGTTTGTTTTGAATGTTTCTTTTCCATAATTAGCTTTCTTTTGTCACTACTATCTTCTTGTTCTTTTAACTTTTTCGTTTCTTTTTCTTTATTTGTTATTTCTAAAGCTATATCTATATTTGAGGGTACCATTCCACTTAGTAATTTTGCAGCTCCTCCTTCCTTTTTTTCTTTCGCATTTTCAAGGGTTTTTCCTTCCTTTCTTGATTCTATTTTGTTAACTGCATTTTCAAGTTCATCTCCTCTCTCGATTTTTTCAGTTGTATTAACTTCTTTTTCTTTTTCTATTTCTTGTTCCTTCTTACTTTGTTCAATATCTTCAGTTATATTTTGAGACTCAGTATTCTTTGCTATCACAAATTTTAGTTCATTTTTTTCATTGTTCAATTCTCCAATCATTAATTCTCGTTGAAGTCGCACAATTTCTTTCTTTTTTACATATTCTTCAAGCCTTTTAATCTTTGCTTCATTTTCTTCCTTCTCTTTTTCTTCTCTCCTCTTTCTTTCTTCCTCCTTTTGTTCCATTTTTTCTAAATCCCTCCTCTTCCATCTTTCCTCCTTTTCTTTCATTTCCTTTTCCATTATTTCTTTCATTTCCCTTTCCTTTTCTCGTTCTGCTCTCTTGTTTTTCAAGACAGGACCAAATCTTTTGTACACCATGAAAGCTCTAAATGTTGTCTGAATTTTTATAGCTGCATTATTCTGCTGTTCCACCAAATGTTGCCTTTCTCTTGCTTTCTGTTCTTCAAAAGCCCTTTTTTCTTCTTCTATTTGTATGTGTAATTTGTTAATTAATTCCTGTATTCAAACAAGACAGGACGCTTTTATAAGAAATACCACATCTATAACTTGGATAGCTAAACATTAAAACTATTTCTCTGATGAATCTACTCATGTGCAAATCTCACTGGATTCTTGAAGATAAAAAATGAAAGTTGTCTATGTATACATATGGACATATACACCATATTTTCTATTTACACTCCATGTTTGCTGTTTATATCCTAATATTGTATTGTGTTCTTGAGTTTCTTTTTTAAAGTTTGAAAAATTATGTTAGAAATCAACTTTTCAAATAAGTATTTTCCCTGTTAGCTACTTTAGATTTTTTTTAAAGGAGGAGGAGGAGGACGAAGAGGAGGAGGAGGAGGAGGGGAAGAGGAAGAGGAACAAAATGAACAGTCACTCATGCCCTGGTCACTTCATGGCTTGATTACTGCAATGTGGTCTATGTGGGGCTGCCCTAGAAGACCACCCAGAAGCTTCAACTGGTTCAGAATGCAGCAGTGTGAACAGTGATGGGCATGCTTTGGTTGCCACAGTTTGCTTCTGGGTGCGATTCAAGGTGCTGGTTGTCACCTATAAAACCCTGTGTGGCATAGGACCTGGTTACTTGAGGGACTGCCTACCTCCTATAGTATCTGCCTGGCCAATTCAATCTGGCAGGGTTGGCATGCTCCAAGTTCCTTCAATTAAACAGTGTCATCAGGACCCCAGAAGTGTGCCTTCTCTGCAGCAGTACCTGCCTCTGGAATGAGGTTCCCCCTAAGATTCGAACAGCCCCCACCCTGCTGGTGTTTCAAAGGGGCCTGAAGACCTGGCTCTTTACCTAAGCTTTTGGTGAGGATGACTTCAGCCTCCTTTTAACATGGGTTGCTTTCTCTTGTTTCCATCCAGTTTGTTATTCTGCCATTTCTATCCCTTTTTGTTTCTTGTTGTTTTTATTGTCATGTTTCATGTTTTAAGTAATTTGTAAACCACCCAGTCACTGGGAGTTGGACAGCATATACATTTAATCAATGATGATAAAAATAAACACAAAATTTGTAACTCTACCAATACTGATTCCAAAATGCAATTTATTGTTGATATTAGGAAAATTATATCAGCTACACAAAGATTTTATGATATAAAAAAAACCTGTTGGCAAACGATCAGCATTTATTTTAACTCTATGTTCTTGCCTCTTCCCTATTCTGTGCTTATTATTTGGATTAAAACTCTTCTCCAGTTTCCGACTTAATAGGATTGCTAAATCTATTCTGCCTTGACCTTACCAATAACTTCTTTTAGATTCAGCCCAGTTTTTCATGGAGCAGGGGAAAGTAGTAGCATGATTAAAAAAAAAAAAATTACATTCAAGCTAAAAAACAGTCACTGACATAACTTCTCCAAGGCTATCATGCAATATGGTGAAAATGCATCAAATTGTATTATCAAGCTAACATCCAGAATGATTTGTTCAGCATAGAGGTTTATTTGCAAGTAAAAAAGTAAACAGCTCTAAATTTTTATAAAAGTGAAAATGTTAACGTATTTTCAAATGCTGAAATATCATTTAAATATATTAGGATTTAAAATTATAACCCATTCATATGAAATGATACCGATGTGGAGATTCTTCCCCTAATGTGCTCCGATTTATACTCTTGAGTTTATAGTTCATAGCAAACCACAGTATGTCTACAAATCAGAATTCGAATTATAGTTTGGACCCTAGTTTGAGTTTGAAATTCTGACTGCCATCTGCCTTATAGTTTGCAGAAACCACAGTTTACTATTTTCTTGCTATTGTAAACTAATTTTACTATTGTTTGCTAACTTTAAGTTTACTAACTTACTCAGTTAGTAAACTGAGAATCAATCAGTTAGGAAGGAAAGGGGGTACATAAGAAGAGGAGGATGGAATCTATACGCTCATTGTTATGATTTCATCTTCCAAATCATTCAAAGTTTGATTTTAAAATTACCTATAAACCAAACCATGCAGATTATAGGATTGCATGTCCAATATAAGCAGTTGTCAGCATTCAACTGAATCTAAATTACCTGATGTTCTTTCAGTTGTTCTTTCCAAGTCTGTTCTTCCTTTAGCAGTTCTTCTTCCATTATAGCCTGTTGTTGCTGTACAGAGTATAGACTTTTGTTGTCATTATTTTAATTAATATTGGGATCTAATTAGTTATTCTTTGGATTCAATACACTATGTGGTCCCACTACAGTGGAATACATTTACAGTATTCCCATTTATTTCAAGAGAAGAAAAATAACATTTTTCCCTCTTCCCCATATCAAAACCATATTGAAATATCAGGATTATGTTTAGTGGGAAGAATAAAATATATAGTTAATTTCTTCCCAGACTATTTCTAATAAGTCTTATAGGATTATATTTAATGCTATTTTCAAGTAGAAACACAGATTTTGCAGTCCAGGCTAATAAGCAACTAAAAATAACTTATGTGAATAGAATCCCACAATTTCAGTGAAGGGATTCTATTTCTGCATTCAATGAATGAATGAATGAATGAATGAATGAATGAATGAATGAGGAATGGGTTTCATTTACAAATTAATAGAAGAACTACTCCAGAAAGGGCAGGTATGTATATGAGTAGGACTCCTGAGCCTCAAATTATACACTTAAATATTGCAGGGCCCATTTTTCAAAAAACCAAGTTATAAGATCAGAAACAGCATTTCCTCAAAATGCTTTTCAAAGGCATTTACAGATATCGTATGGGTACTTCCAATGGAAAAACTGTAACTTCTAGAATATTTAAATGCCCATCCGTCAGTTCAGATGACTATAAATATATTTATGCCATTATACAAATTGAAATGGAAGAGGGAAAGCTGGAAAAGAATTGAAAGTAGCAGAAGCTGAAGTGTTTACAAAATTCTGATGTCTTTCCAGATATTCTTTGTATGCTGCCCAAAGTCACTTTATTTGTGAGATGGGCAAATAAATAAATCTAGTCTTCTGGCTGTTAATACTTTAAATAACATTTCTGAAAATTAGATTATTTAATTCTGATTTGTGAAGTTACCAAAGATAAATAAGATCTCTTTTGTACTTATCAAAAAGATGGTTGCCAGTCTGACTGCCTTCCTGTAAACCATTTTAAAGTTATCATTTTCACTTAAGAGCCACAGCAGTATAGAGGTTAAGGTATTGAACTATGAGCAGGGAGACCCAAGATCTAGTCCACCCTCAGCCACAGATGTTCATTGGGTGACTGTCGGCCAGTCATTTTCTCTCAGCCGAAAGTTGTTATGGGCAAAGTAGGAGGAACTCAACACCTTGACCTCAAAAGGTCAGTATTATAAAAGGTGAGTCAGTATTAAAATAAATAAATTAGGTTAATGCTGACAAAGAAGCAAGAATTAATGACTAACATATTGTGAAGAATCAAATCACCTACAAAAGTTGCATGTAGGCTTGCTACTAACAGTATCCTCAGTATACTGTGTGCTGATCCTTATGAAGCTAAATTGGTAGTATCTACATATATGAACAAATTGTTGGCAGGCTCAAGAAATCCAAGAACTTGCAAAAACAAAAACCCAAAGGGATAAACATCTTCAAAATTCAAATAAGGACTCGGTGGGTACAGAGTCCTGACCGTTCAAGGAAAGAGCAGAAAAAAATAAGGAAATTATATATGCTAAAAGGAACACTTTACACGGCAACAGTTCATTGCAAAATTCAGTTGTTATGCTATATTTTGCATAATATGACCCACAGATATTGTTACTTTATTCTTAATATATTACCGCATGAAACATTTCTAACTTCAATCGTTCAGCTTCAAGCTCTTCTTGACGTAGTTGTCTCCTTCTCTTCTCTTCTTCATTTTGAGAGATTTCCATGTCCTTCTTAGCTTTCAATTGATTCATTTTTTCAAGCTCTAGTACTTTTTGCTTTTCCAGCCAACACTGATATTCCTGTTTGCATTTTTCTTCAACTTCTTGGAAACTAAAGCTGATGGGTATGTCATCAGAATCTAGAAGAATATATATATATGTATGTATGTAAATTACATAGCACTGAAAACATTTTTTCAGTAAAATTATGTCATTAATGCATGATGATTTTATGGGATTTACATGATATTAAAAATAGACACTTATTTCTGTCTGTGTTAATCCATTTTAACATTTCCCTAAAGGCTATGTTATTTGCAATACTAAATATAAATATTAACTAGGATAAGCTAATTTGGTGCCCACCAGCATGGCTAATAGCAAGGAACTAGAGTTCTAATCCCACAATCCTTTACCCTTAAATATGATTATATGACAATTGTTAATTATACATTTATTAATATACCAACCTTTTTTTTAAAAAAAGAGCTAAGTAAAAGTTTATCATCACATCAGACAATTAAAGCAACACTAAAGAAAGAACAAGCTTATTTAAGATGGGGCAAGGTGATATAGAAAGCACTGTCCTCCACCTCAATCAATACTGTAAGTTTTTAATGATACCCATTCTGAAAAGAATCATGGGATTGCTATTCCATCTAAGTCTCTGAGGGAGAAAAAATAGGCTTCTGAGACAGACAGACAGACAGACAGACAGACAGACAGACAGACAGACAGACAGACAGACAGACAGACAGACAGACAGACAGACAGACAGACAGACAGACAGACAGACAGACAGACAGACAGACAGACAGACAGACAGACAGACAGACAGACAGACAGACAGACAGACAGACAGACAGACAGACAGACAGACAGACAGACAGACAGACAGACAGACAGACAGACAGACAGACAGACAGACAGATGTTCCCTAATTCTGATTTAAGACAACTTTAATGCAGTTAGAACTTGACTGCATGTTTGTTTACCTGTCAAAGAATAGCCATTAGCTATCTTGTTAGAAGAAATATCCTGATTGTTTTTTAACTCAATAGTATTGTCTGGAGCCTCACTCATCTGCTGCTCCTCATCTTCTATTTCAGATAATACCTAAAAACCAGCAAATATTTTGAACTTCTTAAAATCATGAAACTACTACATAAAAGGATTTTCACTGTATCAAAAATGTTTTTAAAAAGTGTTGTTTGTTATAAAAGAAAAGTTCTGGAGCACCTGTATCAGCCACAATCCAAATATGTATGTACAAAAAGCTGTTAGAAAAGTAGCGCTCTTATGGATCAGTTGTTTGGTAGGAAAAAGAGCTGGATTCAGCTCCCTTACTCTTGTTTGGTCAGAGATATCACTAATTTTCTCACAGGGATTTTTGTGTGCAACCACAACAGCTGGATGTGGGAAAGAAAATGCATAGGCAATGCAGCATTGTTATTTAAGATTTCTTATCCAGATAGTGGTATCTGTTTAATGAAGATATATTCAAACATGTAAATGTAAAAGATGTTACCAAAACATTTATGGTATCATGACATGATACACTATTCTTGTTGTAACTGTCAAAATTTATCTTATCCCTTTACTTTTTCTAAATAGGAATATTTATTTTGAGTCTGTGACAACTTTTAACCAAAAGGAAATCAACTACATTTTTTTAAAAAAAGTATTGCTGAAATAATAAAAAGGATAATTATAAGGAGCTGATGTATATGTATAATACTTTCTCTCACACAGAGATTTCTAAATATATGTGCAATCCTATACATCCGTTTCAGAAGTAAACCAAATTAAATATGTATCTGATTCGGGCTAAGCAATCAGAATAGGGCTTAGTACGGTCATTGGAAGACTTTTGGTGGCTAAGGGCCACATCAGCATTTTGAGGAGGGGCTGAGGGATCTATCAAACATGTTGGTGACACTGGGTTTCAGGGTGGAACACTGGAGCATTATTAGCTTTTTTAACTGTGATACACCTATTTTACCCCTTGTACAACTCTGTGTTACATCCTAAAATGCCAGGAAACTATAGCTTCAGTTTTCAACAGACATGAACAGAGAGGGTTCTGGGAGCCACTAAAAAGGGACTTAGAGGTCACAGATTACCAACCTCTGGCTTAGTGTTATGAGAAAGTCATAAAAAGTGGGCATATTTAAAGATAAAAAATATACATACAGGTTTTACAACTCTAAACAACCTTTAATAATGTAAATAATTTTAAATTTTAAAATTCTATTATCTGTATCCTTGTTTCCAAATAAAGGTTATTACAGAATATACCATTAAATAAATAAAGACAATATAAAATCAAAATCTCATTACTTATGCATTCTACTCAATGATCTTAGGCTGATACTTGTCAGTTTAAATATTTTCATTTAATTGTTTGAAGATTAAATATAAAAACTAATTTATATAATTTTATTTTAGGTACAGATAATAGCTTAATGGCTGACTGTTCCCATCTCTACTGCACTACAATTGTTATCACCAATAGATCACTATATGAACAAAGAATCTCATTGATATAATAGTCTTCTCCAACCTAAATGCTCTAAATATATGGACCTGAGCTCCCAGAATTCTTGCTAATGGTCATTCTGGTTGACGAATGAGGTTGAGGTCCACACATGGAAGGAGACAATTATCTAAGATAGCTTTCTATACTCAATTCCTAATTAAAATTGTGTGGGAAAATTATATCAGAAAAATATTCTGTATTGTTATGATTATGTGAATAAAACATACTTCTTGGAAAATGAAGATGAAGATTTAGATGATGGGGGAGAATGAAGATTTAAATGATCTAGCCCCAAATGTCTAAAAAACAAAAAAAGAATCTATCCAATGCATGCTTATCAGGCAGTTAATTCCCACCAAACTAAGTTAAACTCTTTTTAGCAAACAAAGAGAGGTTAGCTATCTATTAATACCATAATTTAATTTCAAGTAAAAAGAAAAACTCTAAAGATGTATTATGCAAAGATTATTAGCCATTAAAACATCTGTTCAATACCTGAAAGCCTCATATACCTGTTTCATGCACTGTTTCAAGCAATAGCTCATAACAGTTTACTTGTTCAGATTCAGCTGAATGTTTCCTTTGTCACCAACATAATTTGATTACAGGACTGCAAAAGTTGCTGTCGCTGAAATTATTGCAATTTCACCTAGTAAAGTATATTAAAGTGCTATAAAATGGTGCAGGGTTTATATCTTATATAAATCAAATCAAATACATGGATTAAAATTGTATATAATACCCTTCTTTTGAGTTCTTCTGGATCTTCATTATATTGAGAAGCTAATTCAGCTAAACATTCAGAAGCATTGTTAGGAACAATACGATAAATATCACCTGCAAATGAAGAAACGTTTACTCAGACTTTGAGAACACTAATTTTAGTGTGACATTCTATTCTTGAACATTCAGATGAAATATCTCTGTCCTTGCAAGTTAGATTTCTGGTGAGCATAATTCTATACTCAAAGACAACACAATTAAACAAAACTGAAATACTTCAGACATCTTCAGGCAGGTGCAACCTACTTAGCACCTTCTTTCACGTAGGCATGTTTAGGATTAGGGTGACAGTGTTAACACATTAATCTTGAAACAGTTTCATTTTTATTTTTTATCACTTGGCTAATCATTAACTTGCCATTCACTGATCTGTCAGTCAAAATCATCACTTCAAACTGTAGGATTGCCAAAAATCTCCCAGGACTTTCATCCACTGACGAACAAGAAAAAGGGAGAACACCACCCTATTCTCCCTATTTTGCTGTAATAGCCAGTTTACCTGAAAGTATTATTCCTCCTATCTCCATCATATTAAAGATTATAATACTCCACGCCAAATAAGTTTCCCTCTTTAAAACACATATAAAAATAACACAAACACTTCAGAAAGAGATACTAAGAAGAAGAAAATTCACAATTATTTTCATCTCACACAAAACAGCAACACTAAGATATTTGCAGTGTTGTCTCTTAAGAAGATAAGTTGGTTAAATATTATTCCTCCTCCCTGCCCACACACACTCACCAGCAGTTTTCTCCCTGAAACCCAATTACAGGGAAAGTAAGGTATGTTCTAACAAATGGGGGAGTAGACAATTCAGCAGAAATTACACAGTAATCTATTACTCTGCCTCAGAATATACTGCTTCAGAATAAAAATAGTGGTCTAATTAATATTTTAGAAATATATGCTACAATAGTTGAATATAGATACTAACCCAAAATAGTATCTTGAAGAAATTTTATAGAATACATTGGCAGAAGCATATCAAAAAACACTTTACTAAATCACTACTTACTTGAGATTTCAACATTTTCCAAATCTTGCAACATAAGCCTTTCTGCATTTTGACTTCTGCTTCTCACAAAATTTAAATACTGGAGTACTGATTCTGGTAATTCTTCTGGAATCTAGAGGTAGATTTTACATTATTGTAAAATTGACAGTTACTATCATTACTTTCAAATCAGGTTTTTCTTCAATCTATCTCTACATGTGCAAGCTAGAACTAATGAAACATAGAGAAATGCCGGGGGGGGGGGGCTCATCAGTTATAATATCCAGTGTAATGTGGATATACCTTTTTTTCCAATTTATTAAAGGATAGTTAACAACTGAAAATAACATAAGACACAAGATACAGAATGTAATGGAAAATAGCCAAGATGTATATATTACTGATCCTATCTAGACTACCATGTAACTGAAATTACTAGGTTACAAATCATAGCCTAGAAGTCACCTCAGAAATCATCTAGCTCAACTCCCTGCTCATTATCCACTAGAGCATCTCTGACCCATGTCTATCCAGCCACACCTCAGTGAAGGAGAACCCTACAATGCAAAAATCCAGACCACAATTAGATGGAAACAAACGTTCAGAAAACTCATTTTGCTTTCATCCAGTTGTTCAGATTTTTGCAGCTGAAATGTAGTAGCTCTGATACATAGAATAGTAATTTTAGAGTGAGGAAGGAAGAAAAGTTGAATTAGCCCTATCTATGCTGATAGTTCAAAGATATTTTTGATTTTCTCACTTTTTAAGATAAAAGAAATTACTGAAGGAAGTATAACTAAACTTTTTGTAACAGTGCACTTTTAGGTAAAACTGTAATTGACCATTTGATCTACAAAGTCCCAAATATGTGATCTATGTACTGTATATTTACTCAGAATTCTGTATTAAATTCATATACAGATAGCCAAAGTGTGCGGAAGGCCTCTGTAGAGCCTACCATGATATCCAAGCCTTTCCTATCAATTGCCTTTCCTACTAAATTTATGTTCCCCAGCTCCACCACTCATTTCTTCTCTGATATGCAGAATATCAGTTGTATTTCTGAAAGGAGAATAAGATTCTTCCGGGGAAGAAAATGAGACAGGGAAGCAGTGTGAAAACATTGTCATGTACCCCAGCCCCAACTGTCCTCTCCCATCACAGATCACTGATGACTATTTAGAATCATCACTGATTCTCTTTGCCTAAAAAATATCACTTATTCTGAATTTTAAAAACAAGGATATTCTACCTCTCCCACGGGGTGGGGGGGGGGAAGAATCTTAAATATGGATTTAAATATCTGTAAGATTTGCTGTAGATGTCTCAATACACAGACACACAATGCTCTGTAAACATTCATTTTTCAACAGTCAGCCTAGGAACGATGCTCACATATAAAACATGAGAGATTATCTTGTTTTACATAGTAAAATCCTCTTATTGCTCCTATTCTTCTGGAATACTTACTGTTTCACTATCACTTGAAGAATCTGCTGATAAATCAGTGTCACAATCATCTGCTTCAGATGAAGAAAAGCTAATTTTCCTCAACTCAAGTTCTATTTCTTCTTCAATTTGTACATCATCATAATCTTCCCCCATTCTTTCTATTGCAACATAGTAAAAGCAACAAATATATATATAAATGTTTGTGCATACATCTATCTATATCCATATGGATATATAATATAAAATCTATAACTATTTATATAAAATTATTGAATTTTATATTTACTGTTGTCATTATGCCTTTAATTACAAAAAACAGTATTAAAATAAAAAGAACATGTCTCAAGACAAATGGAAAAATAGTGAATGTAATGGTAGGAAAAATAATTAAATAAGCAAAAACCGAAATTTGGGAGGGGATAGTCCCCGCCTGAATATTTATTTATCCAGTCATTAATTTAATAACCTGTAAACTGCTCGTTAGTTCATCTCCTCTCATTGTGTGTGTGTGTGTGTGTGTGTGTAGTTGCAACTCCCATCTATTAAAAAATAGAGGCAACGCATTCAAGTTTACATTAAAGTAACAACAACGTATCCAACCTCAGGCTATCCAGGTTTGGGGCGGCATGCGCACAATTCAGTTAAAAATGAACAGACAGAAAGGAATTATTATTTCTCGCTGTAACTATTACAGAGGCATAGATAGATAGATGGAATTATCTATCTATCCAATCTCTATTTCTCTATCTCAGATTTTCAATTAACTCGTGCCTACCCTGCCCATAGAGCTCCGCTTTTTTCTAAGTGCATACGGACTACAAGTTCCATGGTGCATTTGAAAAGCAATCCTTAAAAGCTTATTTGGAAGTATCCTGTTGAATGCCGGGAGTTATAGTTTTGACTATGTTTTCAAGTAACGACTGTCCCGTTCCATCACGATGCTTAAAAAGTATTCCATGACGTTCTTTGATTTGAAGATTAGAATAAATCCCTATCCTCGTTATCCAGAAACCCTTGATCTCTACTTATTTCCGACGTCGCTAAACACCAACCTGGCTCAAAATGCAAGACTCCCGAGCAAAGAGCTCCACTGTTACAGGAAGTGTAACCATAGTGACAGGAGACATGGGCGGATACGCCTTTGCTACGGAAGCCCAAATGGAGCGGAACAGAAGGAAAGCGAAGAGGCAGGTGGTGGAGTATGCAGCGACTGGTTCGTTGGGGCTGAGCGGCGCTGTACTTTTGGAGAATTTTTTTCTCCTTTTTGCTAATCAAAATACATATTTGTTGTGCAATTTCGTGTTCTTTCATGTACAGAAACATTACCCCGATTTTCGACTCCCTCTCCCTTCCCTGCTGAAAAACAGCCAGCCATAGTTGGGCTGCTAAGAAACAATCTCATAGCAACAATTGTATAATAAATAATACCGTAATGTCGTAACTCTCAGCAGGAAAGGGGAATCTGTTGCCTTCTATTTGTTGCTTAATTCAAGCTCCTACGAGCCCCAGGTAGTGGGGCTGCGGAGGTGGGACCAGCAGTTAGCCACTCGTTCCCTTCCCCCGTTGCATTGCGGTTGGTTGGTTGAAGCTATAATTTATTGAATAACCCACCATTTTCTGAGTTTGTACAAGACAGCCCAAACAAAACATTGTTAAATTTATACCCCACTTTTCTACTTATAAGAGTACTCAAGGTGGCTTAAAACAGTAATATTAAATAGCAAACATACAGCAATAACATCAAGAAGTTCAGAATGAAAATGAAGACAATTGTTATTAGTTTAACAATTATGAAAATCCAGCCAATTGGGACTTGGTCAACAAACTGATTTGTTGTGATGTGCAAACCAGGCCACTGTGTTTCTCCCTGGTTTCCAAAATGCGTTATATAAGTGCAATAAAAGACTTCACCTCCTTTGTTTTAAAGCATCAGTGGCTTTTCCAGCCATTTGAGCTTGAACCTACTAGTGCTCAGAAATCTCTCTCTCCCTCTCTCTCTCCCTCTCTCCAGAGAGTGATCAGTTTTTTCTTGAATTCTTGAATGTTTATCAGTTATACATGGCCTTTTCCCCCACAAATGTATTCTAAATCCATTGAAACTAATGGACTTAAATAATATTGAATGTTTGGACAATGATAAACCAAGCAAATAATATGTGTAATTATTACTATATGCTATTTTATCTTAAGGGGTTATGTGATTCTAATTATTCTATAAGGATTGCAGCAAGTGACATGAATAAGTAACCAATTTATCTGATATGAGTATGATTACCGAAGAACATTGTTAATTCTTTTCCTCCATGGTATCTCTAAATTCTTTGCCTTATATTTTTCCTAAATTAAACTACAGCATAACAATTTCTAAACTGTTTAATGATGTTTTCGAAGCGTGTCTCCTGCCAGCGGTTTATGATAATCTGTATAAGGGTCTAGTATCATTTCAGAACATAAATTTTATCAAACATTGATTCAAACATCATGTTCCTATGATGCTCACAGTAAGAACATTGGAGACCAAAAGGTCAAGAGAAATTATGGATGCATGCATGCTTAATTGTAAACAAGTACAATATCTAAAACTACATAGAACATGTTTACTGATTGTATGATATGGAAATGAAAGCCATACACTTTAATTTGCTATGTTCTCTTTGGGGGCACATAAGTAAATTTATTAGCATTTTAAGTTTTTGTTTGTTTTCTTTTTCTCTTTTTAAACTAAGAGGGTGTGGAGGCGAGGATGAATGTATTGAAAGACAAATATCCATAGATATGTACATAGTTACAAGGAAGTGATTCTAGTCAACACAAGTAATAGATTGTGACAGTATTAAACATAGATATTGTAATGAACATTAAACCTAGAGCACCTGTGCAGCACCATATCCTTAGTTTGTATCCTTGCAGGTGAGGAAAAAATATTTGAAATCTGATATATTATGAAATTAGTGAATTATGTTAATTGATTAAGCATGGGTTTAATGATACTATGCTAGATGGACTCTAACAATCCTCATTAATAGCTCCAACTTGGAGGAAAGTATTGAGTGGAGTACCACAGGCTCTCTCCTGGACCCTGTGCTATTCAACATTTTAATCAATGACTTGGATGAGGGAACTGGGAAAATGCTGACCAATTTTGCAAATAATGCAGATCTAGGACATTTGCTTTAGAAGGTGGGGGAGGGGGAAATTCAAAACAAGCAGTGGATTGAAGCAAAAAGGATAGAATTTAACAGCAAGAAATGTAAAGTTCTGCAACTGGGTAGAAAACTTGAAAGTCACAACTATAGGATGGGGAAGATCTTGCTTGGCAGTAGTACATGTGAAAAGGACCAAAAGTGAACAATATCCAGCAGTGTAATATATCTGCTAAAAAGTGCATTGCTATTTTGGATTGCATTAAGGGAAATATGTGGAATTCAAATCATGAAAAGCAATCCTTCTATTCTTCCCTAGTCAAGTCCCATTTGGAATACTGTGCCTAGTTCAAAAAGTGACTTCAGAGATGGGTGTCCAAGGGTCTGGAAACCAAGTCCTTTGCAAAATGGTTAAAAGATCTGTCTTTAGCCTATAGAAGAGATGATTGAGGGGCGATATGGTAATTGTCTTCAAATATCCGAAGGATTGCCATATAGGAAAGAGCAGGACTAGAACCAAATGGTTAAAACTAAAAGGGAGTAGGATCAGGTTACATGTCAGGAGGAACTTCATGACTATATGAGCCATCAGCCTGGGGAGCAATCTGCTACATTAAGTGATGAGTTCTCCTTAATTGGAGGTCTTCAAACAGAGGCTGGATGGTCATTTGCCCAAGATGTTCTAGTGGATCCTCTGCTGAACAGGGGGGTTAGCTAGATAACTTTTAAGGTCTATCCTATCTCTATGATTCTATTACAATGTTGTAATTAAGACTATCCTATGACTACCTGATTATGTTTTGGTACTATTAAGCTCCCTTTGTCTCACCCAGTTCCTTCCTCACTTCACCTCATTGCAGTCTGGTAAAAGTCATAGAATTGGCTCACTGCTGAAACATGTGAAATATGGTGCTGTATGCCTCTCAGCCAGTCATGTAAAATAAGAGGGGAGAGTCATCTTAGAGAGCCAGAGAGGTTCCCCCCCCCCCAGTCTAATCTACCTTTGGGGTGCAGGGAATTTTCTTACATTTAATGTCACTAAATTTTCTTAAATTCAATGTCATTTTTCAATGCCTCTGTTGAAGACCTCCAATGAAGGAGAACTCATCACTTAACGTGATTGCTCCCCAGGCTGATGGCTCATACAGTGACGAAGTTCCTCCTGACATGTAACCTGAACCTACATTAGTACTGATACTAATCAAATACTAATTGAATCTTGCTATATTCTAATTATGCAGCAATAAGAAATAAATTATATAGATATATTTTGTATAAAATATGTTGCAATATAATTGTTGAATAATTGTGGTTACTCCCATGTGGAAAATATCCCACATACTTAATAAACAACAATAAACTGTTGTTGATTAACTGAAAAGCAATAAAAAAGAGAATTTCTATTAGAACTCAAATAAGATGCTTCGGTATCACAAATGTTTGTATCACACATAATCCTATGGTAAATGTTACATTGACAACAAAGTACTCTGAATGCTCTCCTATGAAAGTACAGTATACTTAGAATTTAGTCCCACTGATCTCAGGAAACTTGCTTCGAAGTTAGTAGAACTAGACCCTTAATTATTTGCTTTTAAAAACAGTGTTGTTAAAACTTTAGAATTTTAAGTTCAGTACATCTTTACATTTAATTATATAAAAAGTACTACAAATATTTACACTATTTTTGAAAGATGTTCTGAGCTTAATGTAATGCTTTTATATCGTTTCAAAGCTTAACTTTCCATTATTGGCATGAAATAATTACAAAAGTTTATTTGTAAAGAATACTTATCATTATATTTGCCGTTGGATAGGAAGGATGGACACAGCAGGAACATGTAGATCTCTTATCACCACTGCTCCCCTTCCAAAAATCTGTTTAATTAGTCAGGTCTTTTGATAATATATTTTGAATTTTGTAGCATAATTAAGAAAGGTAAATGAAAAAAAGCTTTTGAATTAAATATGATCCTTTTACTTATTTTTTGCTCTGATTAAAACACAGATACATTTTACTGAAAAAATGTTTTAAACTTGTTTGAAAAATATGATACATTACACTAAAGTATCAATTTTTCAGAGTACCCTGAATGTATGGCACAATTCAGTTTTGTTGCAAGCACCAGTAACATACTGTTTAACTGCTATTTTCAGGTGCCATTTAAAGAAAAATGAAAAAGAGAAGAGACAAACTCTTCATACTAAAATATTTCTTAAATATCTTCATTGGCATTTTCCTGGTAAGAAGCAGTTGCATGTTATAAAACAGATGATCAAATATTGAATGATACGTTTTGCTTGTAGTATCACTCAGACATGTTGTTTTCATTTTCAGGTATTAGGTCTTATGCTTCTAATATTCACTCTTTGGATTTCACTTGATAGAAACAAGTTTTTTACTCTTTTGTGTGAGTACAAGTGTTTATATGTGTATTTTTTAATCTATATAATAAAAGACAAAAATTATGCTCCATTTTTCATGAACAATCACAATATTGACCTCCCACAAGGTGGCAGCATTGTGTTACAATGTATGTCACATTAAAAAAAAAACTGCAATTACCAGCTTTGTTGTTACTGTATGATGTCCTTCATCATGTAAACTTGTTTTCAGAATCAATGAAAGAAAGCAGGCTGCTTTAACTAGAGGACTGTAAAACCAGCATAGTTAGATTACAACATTTTAGTCCCATTGGCTTCACTATCTACTAATATATCAAGCTTTAATGTATGAATGATTTGCTGTTACAATATTTAAATAGTATAAACCATTTTTTAAAGAAAGCAAGTGAGAGCCCTGTAGGCTGGTATACTTGTTATGATTTTATGCAGGCTTTGTTTTAAATCATTTTAAACTGCAAGCTATGTATGTCCATTGGCTCATCGTAAGTTCTGGGCAATTTTCTCATGCTGTAGCAGCTACTGGGCTTATTTTATGGTGCTCCT